CAAGAGTGTAGTAAAAAAATCAACCAATTGGATATTTGTTTTCTTGGGAATAAAATGACTAATAGAACTTCCTTTTTTTCCTCCTTCTTCTTCAGTTGATCAGTTTATTGGATTATCATTACATTAACATACTTTCAGGAAAAGGAAAATAACCTCTAATCTCAATCTACAAAACTAAACTACACTTCGAGAAATCAGAAATTCTTAGAAAGCAAAGCTCAACAACTATGTCAGTCAAAGAATTTAAAATTCGAGTCAGGCTTATTTTAGGAACTTAAATTGTAATATATACTGCACTTTGCAAACTTGAGCAGATTTGCCTTTTGAAAACCAAGAAGATACCCTGTGATGTTTGAAAGACCTTAACTGAGGCACATATAGTATTTCTTGGACCAATAAGAATTTACTATGTTGTCCAGGAACACAAGTCAGAATTCTTAGATTTCATTAAGGAAAATATAAATCAGTCTTGCTATAAAATTTATGAGGCTGGCTTCATCTCCCACCATGCAAACACTTTGCTATATGCTGTTAATTTTAAGCTATATACTAAAACACATCACAACTTTACAATCAGTATTTTAAATGGATGACTGACATATAGCCTTTGACAATATTTAGCACCTTATAGCAACGCATTAACGCTAACTTTAGAAACTATAGCATAATGAAATTTTACAGCCAACTAAGTTGATGAGTCACTGTCAGCTTCTTAAATTCCTCTTTTAGATGAATAAGACAAGCATATATAGGAAGTGAGGCACAAACTCTAGCTCTTGTAAAATCTTAAGGGTCCTCCTGAAATTGAAATGTTAGGGAATAAAACAATACATTGTCTAAACATCCTGGAAAGAAATAAAATGATTTCTATTTAAATTTAGAAATGGTAATAATGTTCAATCTTTTAGTTTGTCACCACGTAATTACATTGACTTATGGAAAGGGTCATATAGTGTCCATTGACTTGTGTGACAACAGTTGCTAAACAACCTTCTGAACTTTTGCTTAAAAAAAAGTGCAAAAATGGATATATTTAATCTCTGCCCATACTACTAGGAGTTTATAGCTAATCAAAGAAATAAGTAGTTTGACAAGTGCAAATTTAAATATGTCCCTTTAAAAAAATAAATATGTCCCTTTAAGAAGATGCTTTAATAAGATGTATGGTGTTGAGAATTAATTATAAATCTATTATATATAAAGTTGAGTCGTTTTAGGAAATATCAAGGAAGAGTATATCTATTAGGGGTGCCTGGGTGGCTTAATCGGTTAAATGTCCAATTCTTGATTTTGGCTCAAGTCATGTTCTTAGGGTCATGAAATCAAGCGCTGCCTTGGGCTCATTCTTTGTGCAGAGTCTGCTTAAGATTCTCTCTCTCTCTCTCTCTTTCCCTCAGATAAACAAATAAATACTTTTTAAAAAGAACTTGTCTGTTAAATTAGGGCATCTCCATTAAAATTTATCATGAAAGTGTCACGTATAACTTTATCCCAATTATTGAATGTTGAAAAATTATCTTTATAGATTGATAGTGAGGTTGCAGTAGCACTAGAATAAAATCATAATATGTTAAATCCAAAACATTTTAGGATAGAGTAAATTTAAAAATATAAAATATTTGGGGGATCCCTGGGTGGCGCAGCGATTTAGCGCCTGCCTTTGGCCCAGGGCGCGATCCTGGAGACCCGGGATCGAATCCCACGTCGGGCTCCCGGTGCATGGAGCCTGCTTCTCCCTCTGCCTGTGTCTCTGCCTCTCTCTCTCTCTCTCTCTGTGTGCCTATCATAAATAAATAAAAAAATGAAATAATAAAATAAAATAAAATAAAATAAAATAAAATAAAATAAAATAAAATAAAATATTTGGGACGCCAGGGTGGCTCAGCGGTTGAGCGTCTGCCTTTGGTCAGAGCATGATCCTGGGATCCAGGATCAAGCCCTACATCATGCTCCCTGCATGGAGCCTGCTTCTCCCTCTGCCTATGTCTCTGCCTCCCTCCTTCTCTCCTTGTGTCTCTCATGAACAAATAAATAAATCTTTAAAAAATGTATACAAAACATTCATACACATCTAGCTCTTATCTATATTTTATGGATCCTGAAAATTTTCCAAATTCCTTAATGTTCTCATGGTCATTACTTTCTTGGAATCAATTTGGCTTGGGCATTTTCTGCCATTTCTATGCCTGCTGTTCATACTCCACTAAGTGGTAATAGAGACAATGAAATTCTGTCTTTTCTATAAAGTGCACAAAAGAGGAGCACCTTTGTGGCTCAGTCTGTTAAGTGTCTGACTCTTGATTTCAGCTCAGGTCTTGATCTCAGGGTTGTGAGATTAAGCCCTGCGTCAGGCTCCCTGTTCAGTGGGGAGTCTGTTTGAAATTTCCCCTCTCTTTGTCCCTCTCGAAAATGATAGATGATAGATAGATAGATAGATAGATAATTTTTAAAAGTACATCTTCTTGATTATTAAAGAGGATCCACACATACAGAAAAATAAAGTATGCAAAAGAAAGCAAAACAAGCAATAACATTCACAGAAGGGTGATGGGAGGATGCATGTGGGTGTATGTGTCTGTGTGTGTTTGTAGCAGAGGGATTTACAGATCAGCAATTCAAACCACATAACCTGGACTTTTAGTGTTACAGACAATTTGTGTCCTTTTCAAATTTATACGTTGAAACTCTACCACCTAATATGATGATATTAGGATGTGGGGCCTTTGGGAAATAATTGGGATTAGATGAAGTTTTGAAGATAGAGCCCTCATGAATGGGATTAGTGTCCTTAAAAGAAGTCACCAGAAATATATCTTCCATGTAAGGATATAATAAGAAAATGGCTGCCTGCAACCTAGAAGACATCCTTCACCAGGACCTAACCATGCTGTTACCTTGAGTCTAGACTTCTAACCTCAAGAACTATGAGAAGCAAATTCTTTTGCTTATAAGCCACCTAGTCCTTGATATTTTGTTTTATCAACCCAAACTAAGACAGTTAGATATCTGTGTTTGGAAATTACAGATTTGTCATGTCCCCAAGATGGGAGATGTTGATTCAGTAAATCTGGAGTGGCCCTAGGGAATCTATACTTAAGAAGATAATCAAGAATGGAATGACTGCTCTGGGATTTATAGTCTTCATTTCCAGTTTTCAAATTTAGTGATACAAAATAAATGTAACTGGGGTCTTATGGACCTAAGGACCTACCTCAAAGTAGTTATTTCTGTCTTGCATCATTAAGTTGATATGTCATTTGCCTCTTTTTTCATAGGCAATCATGCTGGTCTGCCCAGGAATATCTAGGTTTTGGTCCTATGTTCTGAGAAATCCCTCAATCCTGGACTAACCAGAGTGGTTGGTCACCAGATAAGATCTTTAAAGAAACAACTGTTATCTTTTTGTTTGCTGTGACCATTCTTCAATATTTATTTATGAATTGTCTACTTTGTAGTTAAAACTATGGGAGAGAAGTTTTTGGAAGAAGATGAAAGGGCTGTTTTCACAAAGTCCCTTGATGCCATTCTTGACATAGCATCACTGTCCTAAGACCCAGGAGACAAAGTGCCACACATAGGAGAAGACAGTGCTCCCATATCTGTGTGGATCTTAGCTTAGATCATACAGCAAATGCAGATTGAAGGAATCAATATACCTTTTGGCACTTTGAAGATACTCTGTAAGAATTGATCTTCCCTCTCTACTCCTAAACCTGCAAATGCCTCAGTTGGAGGTTTTAGGAAAATGATGGAATTCCCTTTAATGATAGCCTGGTTTTAGCTCTATTGAGTTTGACACGGAAGCAGACTACATAGAAATAATGATAGGCAATTGGAAATGTGGGCTGGCAGTTAGGTGACAGGAAAGTCCTAGAAAACTAATTTATCAGACCCCTAGATTCTGTAATAAATTAAATCAATTACTATAGAAATAGAAAATTGATGAGGATCTAAGCACAGCATGGTGACTATGGTTAACAATGCTGTATTATATACCTGAAAGTTGCTAAGAGTAAATTTTAAATGTTACCACCACAAGGGAGAAGAAAAGTTTACTACTGGAGGTAATGAATGTGTTAACTAACCTTATTGTGGAGATCATTTCACAATATATACATATAAAATCATCATTTTGTATATCTTAAACTTAAGCAATGTTATATGCCAATTATATCTCTGTAAAGCTGGAAATTATTTAAAAATAAAATAAAATAGAAAATTGAGTTCGAGGGGTGCCTGGGTGGCTCAGTCAGTTGAGCATCCAGCACTTGATTTTCACTCAGGTCCTGAGATCGAACCCACCCACATTAGGCTCTGAGCTCAAAGCAGAGTCTGCTTGTTCTTCTCCCTCAGCTCCTCCCCCTGCTTGAGTACGTGCTCTCTCTCTCTCTCTCTCTCTCAAATAAATAAAATCTTAAAAAAAAAAAGAAAAAGAAAAACTGAGTTCAAGAAGAAGATTAAGTTGAATGATTCTTCTGAAGATAGCTGGTTCACTTATGGAAACACTGTCATTTAATATTTACAGAAAGGGCTCCCAAGTAAAGCACATTCAAAATGAGAATAGGCATGGCAGGGTGAAAAAAAAAAGACCTTACTTTGAGACACTAATTAAATGATACTCCTGAAACTGAAGTAGATGAAAAGAATGCAATCTACACATTTTACTTATGAGATCAAGACACTACCAAAATGTTGTGTAATTACTAGAATGCACAACATAATAGGACTCAGTAAGGTGGAAATAAAGATAATGAAATGATATGTTTTTATTTAGTTCATATCTTTTTGTTGCTAATAGAATAGTTTCTGTTCTTTCCAAATAAAAAATTCAATACCCAGTTTAAAAGTCTGACTCAGTAAGTATAGGATTAAAGTAATTGAAAGTAAAATCAAATAGTTTTGTCTCATTAAGTGTGCCTCAAATGTGGAAATCTTAGCCCTAATGCCATCTTTTAGTGAAATCTAACACCAAATTAATGTTTTTTTTTCTTATTTTGCAGGGCTGGAACGAATTGCAAGGGATTCATCTTATGAACAGGAAGGAAAGGTCCAGTTTGTAATTGATGCAGTATATTCTATGGCTTATGCTCTGCACAGTATGCACAAAGATCTCTGCCCTGGATACATCGGCCTCTGCCCACGAATGAGTGCCATTGATGGGAAAGAGCTTCTTGGTTATATTCGGGCTGTAAATTTTAATGGTAAGTTACAACTTTTTTTTTGTCCTTATATACTTTAGAAGTGACAGTGTTTGTTCCCCCTGCCCCCCATATAGGGAAGGTACTCAGAGTGGGAAGCTCAGGATTAGAAGCAGTTCCCCTTTTAATCAGAAGTGTGAGTTTTTCCACCTGCTTTTAAATCTCTAACATATTTTTTGCACTCCTGAAAGAAGCATTAATCTGCTCCTGAAAGAAGCAGAAGTTAAAAATAAGCCTCTATCAATCAAAATATTCTACTTAAATACCACTATTTCAGAAATAACTTAGGAGACTTATTTGGAACCACTGACAACAGATTAGATTTCTTTTAAAATGTTTTGTTTGTGCCATTATTAGGAAAGGAATTATAGATATTTTGTTTTAAAACTGATTTTAAGCTTTTTAAACAGGTTAAGTTGACTTGAGGAAGGTAGATGATTCGGAGTTGCTACATATTCACCTTCTCAGAGTGCTGTGTTAAGTTTCTGTGTCTTCTCTTCCTTTGTTTCACTTTCAATGATTTGGTCAATGTAAAACAATGGGCTGCATCTTGTAAAATAGAACTACATACGATGCAGTGTAGATGGGATTTGCTTCCTGCAGAAGCAGAAATACTGCTTTCTGTGAGCGTTACAGAAGCTGATTCAAAATATGCTGGACCCATAGTATTTGGCTGAGAATAGCCAACTGCCTGTCTGAAGTGATGGAATTGTTGAATGTTGTTGCTCTTTCATGAAAGTTGTAATGGTTACTGCCCATGATTTTGACCATTATTTTCAAATGAAATGATAGAATTCTCTGAGCTGTCTAATTCTTTCTGTTTGGCTGTAATCCACACAATGGACATGCCTCTGAGCCACATGCAGCACTGCACTGTCCATCATAATACACTCCAGTGACCTCAGCTGCCAGCCTTTCTCAAAAAAGCACAAGGTCATCTTCAATTTAGAATTCAAGTGGAAACTTCTTCTTTTGCTTTGTGCAGGGAACATGAGGCAAAATTTGGTTTATATTCAACACAGGGTATCCTTATTTTCAGCAGAATTTTTGTGAGACATTACATAACAATCCTTTCATTACAAATATAAATATTAAGGGGAATTTAAAAATAAGTTTCTTGCAATTAAAAAAATTGAGCAAAAGAGAAGTATTATAACACATCCTAACATGAGGTTGGAGAACACTCCCATTTATCCAAGTTAGGAGGTGTGAAGAGCAATGTAAATGAATATATTTTCTCAATAACTGAAGCTCAAGTCCAGATGGGAAAATCTTTAAAGAAACACAAGATTAAAGTATTTTAAAGGTGAATTGCCAATTTCTCTCTTATCTTAATCATAGATAAAAGCTAAACCTTCCCTTGATGACTTTCATTATTATACCATACTGTAATATAATGATGCTATTAAAGACTATTAAAAACATCTTAATGCCTAATGATTATTAAGACAATTTGCCTCTAGACTCCAATAATTCCTGAGTTCTTCTGTCTCCTTTTTATATTCTTTTTTTTCCCCTTCTACTATATCAGACTGCTATTTTTGTGATTTTTTTTTTAGGGCTGATCTCTTCCATAATTTGCTTCTTTAAACTCACTGTGAACAGAGTAGCACATATAAAATTCCATTAATTTAGTCAAGATACATATATTGAGCACACAGAATGTGTTAAACATTGTGATAGGTGCTAAAGATACACCACGGATAAAAAAATAGTCAAAACAGATATGAGATTTAGATTTTCTTGGAAATTTAGATAATAATCAAAAAAGCACACAAAAGTATAATAATAAAATCTCTAGTGAGTGCTGAAAATAGAGGTATGCTGAACTGAGAGATTGCAGTAGGGAAACACCTCTACAGCCGTATCTGAAGGAAATGAGTGTCAGAGATAAGAGTAAGATAGAACACAAGAGGTCTTACAGGCCATTCTTAAGATTTGTTCTTCATCTTGAAAGCAACTAAAAAACTTGAAAGCAACACTAAAGCATAATAGAACTATGTCTTATCTAAGAGTAAGTATACTCCAGATATGAGGATCATATAAAATACATGAATTTTAGTATATGAACTTAAAAGAGAATCTCTTTGAGCTCCCTGGAGATTAATTTTGCTAATGGCTTGAAACTAGTCTGTATTCTAACAGCTGATGCTACAAGGTGAGAGATCTAAGCATAAGCAGATTGTTATGGATTATGTAATCCTCCTGATTTTTAGTAATTTTCAGGGAGTTTGTCAATTTTTAAATTTCATTGTTGGCTATTTATTAGCGTTAATTAATTATTAGTGCCTTGCCTATTTCTGATAAAAAGATATATAGGGTGGCTCAAATAGAAGTGTATTATCAAAAACATTTAAGGAAGAAGAAACAAATATGGTAACCGGGATACAAGACTACATCAAGTTCTGAGCTTCCCAAGCAGCCAAAACGTAAAGGGACATCAGTGGGATACATAACTTTCATTATATGATAGAAGCAAGCCTACGTATTTTTTTAGAGAGAATTGATTTTCTTGGAAACTATTTCTAAAAGAAATGTATCATATGGGACTTTGACAGCCTAATAAGCAAGGTTATTTAACAAAATTTTATACAAAAGCAGAAGCTTTCTCTTTGGCTGTTTTGCACATGTATCCACAGTCAAAGCCAAGAATGTAATGCTTGTAACACTGAAGGGTATTTTTTAAAAGAGTTTTCAGGAGGAAGGAGATAATCTTCTTTGATCTAGATTTACAACTCTCTCAAGCTCTGATGATACGGGGATTACCATATTCTGTTAAGAATAAATGAAAAGCTTTCCCTTATACTCTGCTTTTTAGACTCGATCTTCAAAAGACTGCTACTCAGAAATTTAACATTTCAGTCAGTTAAAAATAAGAGCTTCTGGGTTGAAGGAGTGGTCATAATTTTGGACACTCCACTTCCCTTATTGCTACTTGCTGGTCCTGGAGGAACGTTGATATGTCCTAATAGCTAAATGGAGCGCACGTCAAATCCATAGGCTTAAATATTATTGCTCTTGACAAGGCTTTTGTAGGAATTGGAAGTAGACATCTAGAGTGTATACTGGGAACCTAGCTAACAGCTATTATATGTTGTTAATTGCATGCCAATTCAGTGGGTTGTGTTGGTGATGGTCAGTGTTCTCACCTAGTGAGATGGCTAATTCACTTCCCAAAGCCTGAAAATATGAGAGGACCATTGGCCAAACCTCAGTTTCCTTGAAATAATCAGTTTTGAATACCCTGAGGTGTGGAGAATGTACTTGACTAGATTCAGAGCTGCTTACTGTACATGACAACAAAAAATTATTATATACTTAAGGTTGTCTTAGCATAGCTACTACTAGTTGTCAAAGAATGAGCTTTGTAAGGCAATGATCAATTTTGTATAGTGTAGCCTTCCAGATTTTCTGTCAGGATCACTGAGCTACGAAAGGTATTCATAAGTAATTTTAAAAATTGACTTTGGATGGAATTATCTAGTAATGTCCATTTAAATATTGGATAATGTCTGCAATAAAGTGCAATTTGTGCTTCAAAAGAAACTGTTGTTAAACCAGTTCTTTCTGACATTAGTGAGATATCGAGGCAGATTGCTTTTCACGATCCCTTTTAATTTGTGATAGTAAATAAAACCTTGTCATTGGTATGAAGGGAGACTTCCAGTCTGTAATAGCAGGAGACATAGGAGCCAGAACAGCTGGATGCTGCACAGACCATTGGTATAAAATTAAAGTAACTGTTTAAAACTCAGTCTTGCTGAGATTGTAACCTTGTGTGCAGTATGCCTAATTAAGCAATGGTTTAAAGATACTTGGTTTAAAAGGTCATGCTTCTTCCAGTTTTATTGTTTAACTGAGAACATAACAATAATCTTAGAATTTCAAATGGTGAATGATTAGTATTTCAGACCAGAATTATTCTATAACACAACAGCTAGGTAAAGGTGAAACACAGTCAAACTACTAAACTACAAAGTACTATTGTCATCAAAGGCTTAAACAACAATGGTGGTTTGATTGAATTTAATCACTCAAACTGTTATTTTCTCATCAATGGAAAAATTTACCTGAGCTATATTCGGTATATGTATTTCAAGCACATTCTGATTCATAGCATATCTGGAATTACTCATGTGTTTCTTACAACTTTTCTCAACCTTTTCTCTGTACTTAGGGAGCCAGAGAGAAACAAAGGCCTACCTTTTGGATTAGTTTTATTGCTACCATTTGAACAAAACACTGTTTCTATAAATTTTTTAAATACAAAGATTTATCAAAAGAAAAAACATAAAATAAAGAAGAGGAGTTCAGATTTTTCAGGAACTTAAGCAACGATGTCAATTCTTTCAGTCTGGTCTATAGGCAATAAAATATTAATACTTACATCTTGTATAGAATCGGAGATTTTCCTGTTGTCATGAGAACCTTATTTACTAGAAAGAAAAAGCGTTGGGTAGAATTCCAGTGTGATCTCCTCACTCCTTTTCTCTGTACTTGAACTCACATCAGGAGCAGGGCAGGCACAGGGGCATACTAAACAAGAGTGTTTGTAGGTAGCAGAAACCACCTTAAACTTGTTTAAGCTAAAAGGAAGAATTTATGAAGGTATGTCAGGAAACCCCAAGGCAGAATACAACAATGTCTAACGAAAGGGCTGATTATAAGGACTAAAAACCGGTCAGAAATCCCAACTTCTCCCTGTTTCCTTTGTTTGGTTTTGTTTATATTGGTTTTCCCCACTTCTAGGTTCATAGAGTAGATAACAGAAGGCCATCTACATTTCTACAAATTAGCAGCTATTTCTTCAGGGCACCTGCTAAAATTAACATGTATATATTTCTAAGTCTCAATTCTTACTTCTTAGAAATTTGAATCTCATTAGCCAAACTTTGGATGTCAGATCTGTTCCAAATTATAAGTGGTGAAAAGGAAGTAGTACACATTTCCTTGTCATAGGGGTGCTCTCCCTGTTTGAAAGGGACATTTGGGAAGTTTCTACA